GGGGGGGGGGGGGGGGGTGTGTTGGAGAGTGCAGTGGGGTAGGAGAAAGGGAAGGAGGCAAGAGAAAGAATGAGTGCAACTGCAAAACGAGCAGAGAATAAATGAGCTGGAGAAAGGGGTAGGAGAGAATGGGGTGTGGCATGGCAAGGACAGACTAGGGTTTAGGGCAAAGCAATCAGCAGTGAGATGTGGAGCCAGACAGATGAGAAGTACTCAAAAGAAAATTAGGGAGAGAGATTAGGGTGGAAAGCAGGGATCAAGAAATTTAAGGAAGTTGAAGAGTTGAGTGGTGAGGACACAAGCCTTCCCCCTGAGCACCAGTATCAGGAGTAAAGGACACTGATTACCAACATCTCCCTCCTGACTCCATCATGTCCTCTCCCAAACATATATAAACACAACAGCTTTGACCCCAGCCCCACCACACCTGTATGAAGACCCAGCGCACTTCTGGCTGTCACTGCTGGAATGGAGAGGGAGTCCTAGCAATTGACCCAGTTCTCCTTATCCCTTCAAACCACCCTATTCCCTCTGGCCCTGTCTTGCTGAATACAGAGAGATTAAAAGAATGGGTGAGAATTGAAAGCAGGAGCCGAGGGGGTCCCTCTAGTTTCAGAAGGCAGCACCACGGAGGCCAGACTTTGTTCTCCCCTGCCAGGCATACCCCCATCTTCTCCAGGGATTTGGCCAAAACATCGCAACCCTTCTTCTGGTTGACAAAAATGATGATGGGTGGATCAAAGCCTTGCTCCAAGATTGCCAGCAGCTTTTTCCTGGGGAGATGTGGAAGAAGAGAAAAACAAGATGAATAACATCTCCCACTCCAAGTGAAATGCCCAACCCTGACCTATGAACACCCATTCCAGGGTCTTCAATGCCCATGGCATTCTGAACAAAAAAGCAGAAACTCTTCAACATGGCAGAGCAATCGCCCTGAAGCCCGCATTCACACTCAAAGCCTTTCTTTCTCCACCCTGTTTCCCATGGCTCAGTTGCCCCCGTACCTCTTTTCTGACTCTGACATGAGGAAGACCTTCTGTTCCACACGTTCATGGGGCTTGCCTGCAGAGCCAATGTACACCACAGCAGGTCGCCGAAGATAGCTCCTTGCCAGACGCTCCACTGCTGGGGGCATGGTGGCCGTGAACATGACTGTCTATGAAAACAGGAGGCTCAGCCCTGGGCCCAGGCAGACATGATTACATATCCCACTGTCACCATAGGCAGCTCAGCCTAGGCTAAAGAATCCAAAATGAGCCATGGTGTAAGCTTTAATAGGCACCACCTTAGCCTTCCCTTGCCTTCCCATCTTTCCCCCAGAACTTGTTCGAGGCACCTTACATCTTACGATGACAGGAAGGACTAAGAGAATTTGCTAGCAACCTAGTATTGGGTAGTAGCATGATTCTTTACAATCATTTTTCTAGGGCTGAGCTAAATAGCTCCATCCCTAGGACTATCAGAGGACCGGCCATAGGCATACCTCACCATTCTGGAAATATGTACTCTGGGCCCACCTAAGGCAAGAAGGGTCTGAAAGTAAGTTGAGAATTTGCCCAACTTTTCCCAACCCAGGGAAGCAGCCTTACTTGGCGGTACTTATGTTTTCCTGACTCAAAGTTAGCCAACATCTTCTCAGGGTCCTCAGCCTCATCAGTATCTGGCTTCTGATTGCTGACAGGCATGTGCTCCAGGATCTTCTGGACATCTGGCTCAAAGCCCATGTCAATCATCCTATCTGCCTCATCCAGAACCACATAGGTACAGCGGCTCAGCACCAGGTAGCGGTTCTCCAGCACATCAATCAGACGTCCCGGGGTAGCAATCACAATCTAGGGGGTACAGTGTAATCAGATATGATCCTAGCAGGTACCCCCTTCTTTTTTCTCCTATGAACTATTCATCCACTTGGGTGACACACTTCTAACGCAAAGGAACTTGGGCCCCAGCCTCCAGTTATATTTAGCAGTAATGGTTTTTGAGAACTAGCAATGAAATCACTTGTTGCTACTTTTTTTTTTTTTTTTTTTTTCCAGAATGAATGGGATCTCTGAGCAAGGTCCAGGGATTAGACAGAGTAAGTAAATCAGAAGGAACTTTCTTAGATGGGAGAGAAACTAAGGGATACTGTGGAGGAGGCTGTACAAAGGGATTACACTTTGAAGTCTACAGAAGACTCAATTCCTGTGGCAGACTTCTGATAAAAAGCTCTCCTCCCCTTTCCTGAGAAAAAGGCAATGCACGAAGTCAATGACATGATCTAGTAGAGTAATTAAGATGTCAGGCTTTGAATATGAACCTAGCCCACTGGCAGCTTTGTGTGACTCAGGCCAAGTCGTTAACCTGAGCCTCAGCTGCATTTATAAAATGGAGATACCACTACCTATCCTCATATGGTTGTCGTTAGAATTACGATACATATGATGTATATTGTGCTCTATAATCCCTGGTGTAATAATAATAGCACATATATATCAACCAGGTCCTTTCTTCATTTTCCTGTACATCTATTCCAGAAACTAGAAACAGAGCCCCAAGATAGAGAGCCTTCCCATACAGCAGGCCGGCTGCCGGTGAGGGAAACATACCTCACAACCCATGCGCAACCTGAAGCCCTGGTCTTCTCTGGAGATGCCACCAATGACAGCCACAGTGCGGATACCCAGGGGTTTCCCAAACTTGATAGTTTCTTCCTCAATCTGCTGTGCCAACTCACGGGTGGGAGCCAGGATGATGGCATAAGGGCCCTGGTCTGATTCTTCAATCCTGTGGTAAATGGGCGTCCCAGAGCTTCATGAGCTTTTGGTTCTTATCCAACCACGAACAGGAGCAAGACAAAGTCACTCTAAGGATAGCTATGGGAATGAGGAGGGTGGTGGGAAAAGGACAATGATCCCACTTAAAATCCAGAGACTCAAAAAAATAATAATAATAAATAAGTTTTAAAAAAATAAATAAAGGGGCCGGCCTGTGGCTCACTCGGGAGAGTGTGGTGCTGATAACACCAAGGCCACGGGTTCGGATCCCATATAGGAATGGCCGGTTGCTTACTGGGTGAGCGTGGTGCTGACAACACCAAGTCAAGGGTTAAGATCCCCTTACCGGTCATCTTTTAAAAAATAAATAAATAAATAATAATAAATAACACCAGAGATTCCAGGATAGCAAAGTTCTCCAGGGAGTGGTCCTTGCCAGAGACAAAATCATATACTTCTTTGAGATCGTGATCCAATTATTCCCTAATACCCAACCCAGAACAAAGAAAGGAGCTTCTGATTATAGATGTAAAAAAAGAAAACCAAACACTTATCTGCCATTTTCACCTTTCCTACCTAGCCAAACCCACTCCAACCAGTGCCAACTGACCCCACCTGTCAATTTTGGGAAGCGTGGTGATCCAGACCAGCAATGGGATGAGGAAGGCTGCTGTCTTGCCACTGCCAGTCTCAGCCACACCAATGATGTCACGATTCTGTAGCCCAATGGGAATTGCCTGACGCTGGATAGGTGTTGGTTCCTACAGTGACCCAGAGAAAAAGTAATGAGTATAGGCAGAATTATACTATCTAGGTTACTGCTGACAGAGAGGGCACATATGCTAACATAATGGAAGGACACCAAGAACAGTTCACAGAAATAGGGACCTGAGAAGAAACACAATTATTAATGGACAAACTTCTACCAGAAAGTGATACACATGGTCACCTTGGTGCCCACTGGCAGAGAAGCCATCAAACAGTCAAGGAACAAAGTTCCCTATTCCCTAAGTTTGTATCCTCTAGAATGTAAAAACTTTTCAGGCCTCCCAGTCTAATCTGCCCCTCCTTACCTTGTAGCCACACTTATCAATGACCTCCAAGATGTGTGGGGGCAGAGATGAGTCCTTCCAGGATCGGATGGGATTGGGGATCTTGCCACCTTTAGTGGTGATGCTATAGTCCTCACGGAAGATCCGCCAGTCCCTGTCAGTCATCTCATCTAACTTCTTCTGGGACCAATGACGATCATCCCAGCGCTGCTTGGCTTCCTTCTTTCGAAGTTTGCGGAGTCTTGCCCTGGTGTTGGATGTGAGGAATAGATAGAATCAGTACACTTCGACTACATTCTGTAGAGACTCTGGGCTCTACCCAACAACCTGCAGCCCTGATCACTCACTCCTCCTGCTCCTTTTCTTCCAGTGTTCGCCTCTTCTCCATTAGGTCTCCATAGAAACGTGACTGCTCTCGTTTCTGCTGCTTTAGGTCAATGCCTGCAATGAAGCCCCGCCCCAACAACTGCACCTGGTGCCGTTCTTTGTACCTGGGATTGAGACAGGAGGAAAAAGGAGAAAGAACTGTTATAGCAGCGGGAGGAAGGGGCAGACTACTAATATGTAACAGTTCCTTCCTAGCCAGGGTCTTTCCTCACCCAGAGGGCAGGCTGACTACTAGTATACTAATTTTCCCATTCCAGCTTATCTTACTTCTCCTGCCTCTGTAGTCACCGGCTCTCTCTAAGCCCATCTGGTGTAAAAGACCTAGCACTCAGGCCCAAAGCCACTCACAGGGGGTTGTAGTCAATGGAAGTGTCTTCAGACGCATCCCACTCAAAGACAAACTTGCGGTCATTGAGATGCCTCGTTCTGCGCCGCTTTTTTATGCCACCCAGGTAACGCTCCTGCCCAGGGAGAGAGCATAAAGTGTATCAACCTTGAGGCCCAAATCTCACATGCAGAGATCAGAATGGCCAAATCACTAAACCACATTTTTGTGTGTGTGAGGAAAGTGAAGATGGAGCCCAGGCCTGCACCTTAATGGCATGCAGTTCCTTGCTCTTATCCTTCTCTTCCCGGATCTTCTGTCGCCCTTCCTCATCCTCATTTCCATTGGTCTCCCGCTCCATCCTCTCCCTGCGTTCCCGACGTTCCCGTTCCTGAGGGTCTTCTGCAGACCAAAGAAAGCAAAGCTGCAGAAGAGCTCAGTGGAAAAAAAAGGGAGAGGGAATGGAGGGAATCCAGACAATGGATACCACAAGAGAAAAAATGGGGTATATTTACGATACATGGAAAATAGAAATCTAACAGAAAGATATTCTTCTCATAAACTCACACCATTCTTCCCTCTTCTAAATTCCAGAGCAAACAGGTTTCTATCTCTCCTAGGTGACACTCTAATCCCATACCATCTTTTCCTATCCCACCCAGGGGCTACATAGGCTAGAAAAACAAACCCAACATCTTCCTGCCCAAGTCTTGGAACTGTTTCCTTTTCTTCCTCTCTTCTTCAAGCATCCTCTGCCGCTCTTCCACCTCCTGCTGCCGCCGTTTTAGAGCTTCAGCTTCTCGTTCTGCTTTGGAGAGGAACTTGGGCTACAAGACAGATTGGAACTATAAACAAAGGATCAGGGGGCCGGCCCCGTGGCGCACTTGGGAGAGTGCGGCGCTGGGAGCGCAGCGACGCTCCCGCCGTGGGTTCGGATCCTATGTGGGAGTGGCCAGTGTGCTCACTGGCTGAGCGCGGTGCGGGTGTCACCACACCAAGGGTTGCGATCCCCTTACCAGTCACAAAAAAGACAAAAAAAAAAAAAAAGGATCAGGGAGCAGGGTACAAGCAAATCACTGATGGGGAGATGGCAGAGAGCCCAAAAATATTTGTTCAGGCATTAAATCTGTTGAGGAAAACACAAACAAGCCTAAGACCTGTTATGAATGAACTATGTCCCCCCACAAATTAATATGTTCAAGTCCTAATCCCCAAAGCCTAAGAATGTGACTGTATTTGGAGACAGGGCCTTTAGAGAGGTGATTAAGTTAAAACGAGGCTGTTAGAGTGGGCCCTGATCCAATTTGATTGGTGTCCTTATAAGAAGAAGAAATTTGGACAAAGAGACACCAGGGGCACATGTACACAGAGGAAAGACCATGTGAAGACAGAGGAAGAAGACAGCCATCTACAAGCCAAGGGGAAAGGACTCAGAAGAAACAACACCACTGACACTTTGATCTCCAGCATCCAGAACTGGGAGAAAATTAATTTGTTGTTGAAGCCACCCAGACTGTGGTATTTTGTTATGGCAGCCTGAGCAGACTAATACAGACCTACAAGTTCTTACCTTAGCCTCAGCTTCTTCCTCAGCCTTTTTCTTGGCCAGAAGTTCCTCCAGGGATAATGGCTGGGCCTGAAGATAAAAAACAGAACTTCAGTCCATAAAGGCTCTCTCCCTTTTAAAGAACAACAAAGCAGTGCTCGAGTTGAAGAGGAAGATGATAAAATCCTTCTTCTCCTTTACCTTAGGCTTCTTATCACCATGCTCATCCTCTTCATCCTTCTTAGAGTCTCTATCCTTCCGAGATTTAAAATCTTTTCCTCGGCCAGGAGATAAGCTTTAAGGAAAAGGAACAAGAAAGGTCCGTATTGCTGTCTTACCCCAGCCCCTGGATGAGGTTCAGGCTGAGCCCCAAAAAGGGGCTAGAAGTTTTCCCATGAATCAGCAAGCCTAACCCATGATGGTCCATCATGTCCTGAAGTTCTCTTAGCAGGCATGGTCACTCTGCCTGCTCTAAAACCTAATTATGGGTGAATCCTGGCCCCATCCTACCTGGATCTCCTTTTCTGAGACTAATCTCCTCTTCTGGGAAGTGGGCATTCACTACTAACATCAAAAAATATTTCCTCCAAAAAGCAATTGCACATTGAAAAAAAAAACCCTCCTTAACTTTGTAATACACAATGGATTTACCCTACATGGCCACCTCCACAAGCCAAGGAGATACTACTGCTATATATATCCCCTCATCATTTTTCCTTCCTATCAGTCCCAGCAATACTTTACTCGTAGAGATTTCAAACAACCCCACTGAATTTCTGTTATGAGCACTCTGTCCTTTGCCTTGAATTCTAACCTACACATTCAGGACGTAATAAAAAAACTTTGCACAGAAAGTTCCCACAAGAAAGAGATCAAGACACTGGGGCATTAAGCTATTCCAACAAATACATATTGTATATCCTGGGTAGGAAATAGAATGGCCCAATGGAGCTAATGGAATGTTTTGTAGTCTGATAACCTTTTCAAACTAATTTCTAAATTCTACAAACAAGTTGAGTCTCAAAGGGTTGTGACTTCACTAACTATTACACTTCCTAAAGAAGACACGTGGGCTGACCGGTTAGCTCAGTTGGTTAGAGCATGGTGCTGGTTACATCAAGCACCAAGGTCCATGGTTTGGTGCTAACAGAAATTTACTTTCCTATGAGGCTGAGTCAGCTCAGATGCAGAGGGAAAAAGATGGGAGCATTCCTCTAACGCCCACACTCATTTCCTCAGGTACCTGGATCGTTTACGGTCCTTGTCCCGTCTGTGACCATCCTTGTCTCGATCTCGGTCCTTCTTATTCCGATCCCGCTCCTTATCGCGTTCTCGTTCTTTGTGCCGTCGTTCTCTGAAAGACAGCAAATTTACGGAAGAAGTCACTTGAGATTTCCACAGTATTTTTATTCACTGCAGCCCTGAGAAGGTTCCCATGTTCTTTTCCCCCTAAAGTAATGTTTTACAGATTGGGAAATGGGTTTCCCAGGGAAGTTACAAGGGAATTCCAAAAAGATCTTTTTTTTTTTTTTTTTTTTTTTGTCTTTTGTCTTTTTCCGTGTCCGGCAACGGATCGCAACCCTCAGTGTTGCCCCCGTACCGGACCAGGGAATGTTTTACAGATTGGGAAATGGGTTTCCCAGGGAAGTTACAAGGGAATTCCAAAAAAATCTTTTTTTTTTTTTTTTTTTTTGTCTTTTGTCTTTTTCCGTGTCCGGCAACGGATCGCAACCCTCAGTGTTGCCCCCGTACCGGACCAGGGACCGGCAACGGGATTGCAAACCTCGGCGTTGCTCCCGCGCCTCGCTCAGCCAGTGAGCGGGAGCCGGTCCATATGTGGGATCCGAACCCTCGGGCGGGAGCGCCACCGCGCTTCCCAAGCGGCGCACTACCCAGTGCGCCACTGGGCCGGCCCCAAAAAGATCTTATAGATCAGAGTTGTACTGCTAAATATTAATGGCAATGATAGACCATGGACTGTGTTAACAGGTGAACTACCTTCCTTGATCATCTGGACCTTCATCTTATAAGTCCCCTCCTAACCTCTAAGAGATGGGTCAGTGAGGAAAACTGAAAACACCTGCAGGTCCAAAAGTAAATTCCTAATACTAGAGGAATCAGAGGAACTAAGAATGGTGGCTGGCCAGTTAGCTCAGTTGGTTAGCGCATGCTGTTGACAACACCAAGGTCCAGGGTTTGATCCCTGTACCAGCCACCTGTCAAAAATACCCCAAAAAAACAAAAACAGATGAATCAAGAATGAAGAAGTTTGAAATGTACTCTCCCTTCCCACATAACAGACATACAAAGCTACTTTACCTTTCTGTAGACTTGGAACGGGAACGGGAGCGAGAACGGCTACCTCCTCTGCGTCTATCCCTTGAACGATGCCGCTTCCTATCTTTAGATGGAGAAGACTTCCGGTCCCGGTCTCTGTCCCGCTCTCTGTCAGGAGTCCGTGATCGCTTCCTTTCCTCCTTGGAAGGTGATGCATCACGGTCCTTTTTGTCAGCCAGCTCTCCTGCCATCTGTCGTGGGTTAGAGAAGTACTTAATACTTATGTATTAGATACTGCTCTAAACTGTTTATATATAATTCACTTAATCTCAGAACAACCCTATAAGGTAAATATATTAGTATGCCTACTTATAGATGAGGAAACTGAAGCTCTGATATATAAAGTAACTTGCCTGAGGACACACTTTGGCTCCAGAGACCCATTCTTACTCATTATACTATACTGTCTCCCAGTGATTCCTTTTTATATATTCATTTCTAAATGTATAGAATTATATACCATATTTTTGTAATTAGACTACAAAAGAGTATTAAAAGAAGAGTTAGTAAATGATAGCATACCAGCTATTTCTAGAAACATCCTACATTGCTTATCGTAGGAATCTATTAGGTCTGACAGCCCACTAGGATCAGTCAACATATTTACATCTAAGAAAGATAACTTCTCTTTAGCTCATAAAGAAAGCTCAAAAAAGAAAAAGTTTAACTTTGAGATTTGGATTATAACCAGTACCACAATGAAAACCTGAATTTAAATGAAGAAACAAACACACTTTTACTCAGATTAAAAGAAATGCACCTCTAGTTATGCAATGAGAGAAATTTAGTGAAGGGTATAGAGGACCTCCATGCACATTTTTTTCCAACTTCCTGTCAATCTATAATTATTTCAAAATAAAACATTAAAAAAGAGAAATGTACCAAAAACTACAGTCGCAGAAGTCCTGACTGACATTCCCTACTCAGATTTTCACAGCCTTGATTGTCTACATTACCCAGTCTTATGAAAGATTTGAGCAGGAATTTTCTCTGTTCCCCTCCTACCTGACGAACGCTGAACACCATACCACACTGTCAACTGTTCCTTGGACTATGAAATCTAACTCAGCCAGAAGCTAAAATGATAGCAAGCCTGAATCTGCCTCATCATCATCATCATTATCCCTAAGACTCAGGATAAGACACAACTGATTTTACCCCCATATGGTTAAGCTTTAGCTTATGATCCTCCTTTCCCATGCCATACCTTGCCATATATCCTTAAGAAGGGAGAATGTATAAAGATGAGAAAAGAAAAATGAACAAACAGCACTTTCAAAAGGTGGAGACAACCCATTTTATCTCATAATTACCTAAGAAATGACTGAAGGTTTTATATCAGTACACCATGCATATCATATAGAAACACTTTTGTCTCAAGGCTGGCCGGTTAGCTCAGTTGGTTAGAGCATGTGATGATAACACCAAGGTCCAGGGTTTGATCCCTGTACTGGCCAGCTGCCAAAAAAAAAGAAAGAAATACTTATGTCTCTTCCACTCATAGCTCTAAGAAAACAATCCAGAAGAAAGGCTATCTTCTCTATAAAGCATCCTAGACATCACTGATTCTTTCAACAAATATTCACTGAGCACCTACAAGGTGCCAGAAATTGTTCTAGGTACTGGAGCTATAGCAGTAAAGAAAATAAAGTTTCTGATTTCATAAAGCTTAAACTCTAGTGCAGCAGAGAGAATTCCAAATAGTAATAAGCACTAACGAAGAGAATAAAACAGGACAATATGATGGGTAACGTTATGGACAAAAGATAGATGGCTCAGGGAAGAACTAGCACATAGAACCCATCTAATAATTTTTAAACAAAAAAATCATAACTAAACTACATTTTTTAAAAATAAAGATTTGTTCCTGTGTTAATAGCCTCCCTACTTAGAGCTTCAAGGGGACCTAGTGCAAAAGCAGTAGAGACTTTTTTTTTTTTTTTAAATCCTATATAAGATGACCGGTAAGGGGATCTCAACCCTTGGCTTGGTGTTGTCAGCACCAGGCTCAGCCAGTGAGCAAACCGGCCATCCCTATATAGGATCCGAACCCGTGGCCTTGGTGTTATCAGCACTGCACTCTACCGAGTGAGCCACGGGCCGGCCTAGGGAAGAATTTTTTAGTTGACATTTAAGGTGAGACAAATGATTGTAGAGAGACATGCAAAGATCAGGGAAAAGAATTTATTAGGTAGAAGGGACAGCAGGTACTAAAGTACTGGGGCAGGAACTAAGCAAGCATGTTTGCAAGGTAAAAACAGACTTGTGTGGCTGAGCAGCACTGACCCAAGGGGAAGACTGGTTCAAGATTCAAGATGATTTCAGTGAGGTAGGCAGAAGTCAGATCATGAAAATATATTATGGTCCAGAGCAAAAGAACCTGAATTTAATTGAACTGCCACAGGAACCTAGAAGGGCTTTAAAGAGGAAGTGATATAATTTTACATTTTAAAAGAATTACTTTGGTGACCAGCAAGAAAATATATAGTAGGGAAACAAGAGTGGAAACAGAACCACTGAGAATGCTATAATAGTAGTCTAGGCAAGAGATGACAATGACTTGTTTTAGAAAGGTGTCAACGAAGATGGAAAGAAGTAGACAGCTTCAGGGTATATTTTGGAGGCAGGGCCGACAGGACTTACTCATGAAGGGAGAAAGAGAAAGACGGGACACAAAGATAGCTTCTAAATGTATGGTTTGAGCAACCTAATAGTTTGTAGTGTCATTATGAATCAACTGGAAAAAACTGGGGAAGGAACAGATTTAGGAAGAAATCAAAAATTTCATTTTGGCCAGGTTGAGTGTGAGATGCCAATGAGACAACCAAGTGGAAATTCCTGGAAGGCAAATGGAAATGCAAATCTGGAACTTAGGAGACAGGATCTGGAGATAAAAATTTGAGTAACCAATACATAGATGGCTTTTAAAACCATGGGACACTAAACGATATTACCTAAATAGGCAGTATTGTTAAAGAAAAAAAAATGAAGAGGACCCAGGATTGAATTCTGGAACACTCTAACATTTAGAGGTCAGGCATCGGAGGAACCAGAGAAAAAGACTGGAAAAAAGAAGCATCAAGTGAGAAAGGAGGGGAAAAAAGGAAAGTAGGGCAACACAGAAGTCAAATACATGTTTCGGGCCGGCCTGGTGGCACACTGGAGAGTGTGCCGCTTGAGAGCGCGGCGGCACTCCCGCTGAGGGTTCGGATCCCATGTGGAGACCGGTTCCCGCTCACTGGCTGAGCGCGGTGCGGGCGCAACACCGAGGGTTGCGATCCTGTTACCGGTCAGTAAAAAAGACAAAAAGGAAAAAAAAAAAAAAAGAAGTCAAATACATGTTTCAAGGAGGGATCAACTGTGTCAAGTACCACTGAAGTAGAGAAAAACTAAGGGATAGATAAATGACTCCTACATTTGGAAAAATGGAAATTATAGTGATCTTGACAAGAGCTGTTTCAGTGGCATGGAGAAAGCAGAAGCCTGAGTGGAGTGAGTTTGGAAGAAAATGGAAGTGAGAATAGGAAGACGGTAAATATAGACAACTTTTATTATATCTCTACTTATCCCAAGGGCCAGATAAGCTGGCCATGTTTTCTAGCAGCCTTCCTTTCAAATCTCCAGATCTTTGAGTTCTGCACTTCTTGTAACAAGAGCTGGAACAGATTCTTTTCTTCAGTCAATTAAGTATTCATCAAGCATTTACTGTATGCAAGGCCCAGTGCTAGGCTCTACAGGAGTTACCAAAGGAAATCCTGTGCACAGAAAGATTTTAGAACAATATAGGGGGTATGAAAGACATACCAAGATTAAAGCTCAGCTGAAGTATCATGAGAGTTCAAAGGAGTTTCCTTTCAATTGCAAAAGGTGATTTGGTAGGCTCCGTAGAGGAAGTGGCTCTTGAGCCTTTAAGTATAGGTAGAATTGGAAGATATGTAATTGAGGGAGCGGAAAAGAAGCCATTCCCAGCAAAAGAAATATGGAAATACAGGCGGCACAGAGGAGGGAAAGCACGAACTGGTTCTGGGAGAAAAGCCAGAGTTCCTCTTTAGCTGGAGCAAGGGCTACTCGAAGCATGAAAGAATAAGGTCAGACTGGGGAATATCAAGACGCTGTGGCCGTGGACAGAGGTCTGGGCCCGTAACATCGTCCAGGGACGTGGCCTGTGCCTCCAGGAACCGACACCCCCCAGGGCCCGCGCCCCTTTGCTCCTGCCCTCCAGAGCTTCCCAGGCTCAGGCCCCTTCCCTGAGGCGTTCTTCTTCGCCTCGTCCCGGAAGCAGGCGCCACCACCATGCCCCCACTCTCGCCCTCTCTGCAAGCTCGTGGGAACCGCTTCCACCACCTGGGACTCACCACCCCTGAGTCTGAACAGCCCAACGCGGCCTCAACGTCGCTGAGCAGTCGCCATCTTTCCCGTTTCCTGGTCGCCGAGATGCACCCCCGGCGCGCTGCGAGCTGGGAAGGCGGGTTCCTGGTGCTGGGCGGAGCAGGCCGACAGCAAGGCCTGAGAACTACCAATCCCAGAATGCACGGCGCGAGCGCCGGGCCCGGGCCGCGGGGTCTGCTGGGTAATGTGGTTCGTCAAACCTTTGAGTCTGCGGGAGGAAGTTTTTTGTGGGCCCGTTTCCCGCACGATCCTCTCCCGCTGCTTAGTCTTCCTGAATCTCCTGGTCTTCCTAGAAACTACAGTCAGTGACTTATGGCTTGTGGCTTACACTGGAGAACTGTAAGGGCTTCCTTAGATGTCTGTAGCACGTAATTATAACTAACAACTGCGGTAACGAAACAAATATTTACCGTTTGTGGAAAAGCGTTTTTACAAAAATTCTGTGATAGATTTTTAGCTGGACAAACTAAAGATTAGATTACAGGAGTAGCCCAGTATTTCACAATGAGATTGGTACAATTCTTCCTTGTGGGGAACTATCCTAGGCTTAGGAGGACATTTTAGCAAGCGTGGCCTCGAAGCAGGGTGAATTGTGACAACTGAAAATGAGCCCACACAGTGGATTCCAGAGGCCTCCTGGAAGGATGGTATCTCCTGGGCCGTGGCACCTGTTTTTTCAACAGTCCAGGTAGAACCCTGACTTCCTCATTTTCTTGCCCTTTGGAATCTGGCCAGTTGTTGGTTGGGTTATCTTGGTATTTTTGCTTCTTTCTCGTAATTCCCTCTACTCAGATCTCCATTGAGTTTTTTTTTTTTTTTTTTTTTTTTTTTACCTCAAATGGTATGCTCACTTTATCTTTAGTCTCATGGGTTCATAATTCTTCCCCTCAAAACAAAACAAACATAGCAACTGCTAGGATGGATTAGATAACCAGAAGTGTCTTGTGCCTCCCTTCCCATTTTCCCATCATTAGCTTTGTTGTCTTGATCCTACGGTCTGTAGGTCTGGCTTTTCTCTCTGAGTATGCTTTCATTTCTCAAGCAGAGCCTCAGGATAGAGCCAGATAATCCGAAAGCCCTGGGCATCACGCACCATGGCCCAAAGTCACCCTAAGAGACCCAACTTCTGCTCTTAGATCTCTGCAGCCTTTGATGTCCCCGCTTCTACTCCGGAGAGTCCTGAAGGGAAAGTCTATCTTGGTGTAATTAATTCGGTGAACACTAGAGGGCTCTCCATTCACAGAATTGAACCCCAACTGAGAATCGGACGAAGGGATGGTGGGCCGGAATCTTTAAGAGGTGCAGGTACTGTTTTTCTTGAGGATCTTCTAAGTGCCCAACTCTGGGCTAGAAATTTAACCTATGTTACTTATTTTACTTAGTTTTCATAACAGTATGAGATGGGTATTATCTCCATATTGCTGATAAGGAAATTGTAGCCCGGAAAGATTAATTATGCCTTTTAAGTCCACATAGTTCAAAGAATGGAGCCAAAAATTCAATTCCAGTTTTATGTAACTTCAGAGTCCATGCTTCTTTCCCTATTTTCACGCTGCCATATTTACTGTTTTTATTTATTTATGTATTTATTTGGGGATGGCTGGCTGTTAAGGGGATCAGAACCCTTGACCTTGGTGTTATCAGCACCATGTTCTACCCAAGTGAGCTAACCAGCCAGCCTTTTCACTTTTTAAACACGAATAAATTGCGACCCAGAAAGATGACAAAGTTTGCTCAAATTCATAGTGGCAGAGTTCCCTAGTACTTGTGCACACCTCTCTCATGACACATGAAAGACAATGAGCTTAAAGGATACTGGTTGTCTTACCCCTCTAGTTCTCTCATAAACATGCATCTTTGGAGATGGAAACAGAGGGGCTGTGCTCTAGAGGACCACAGGTAGTCTCCTGTTTAGGTACAACATGGCTAGCAGTAAGGGGTCCATGGAATTATAGTTAATAGGCAGACCTGGTATGAATCCTGACTCAATTACTTACTAGCAGTATGAACTTGTGCAAATTATATGGCATGTCTGGCTTTTCTCTTTCCTTATTTATAAAATAGAGATAATAATACAACTTGCCTCACAGGATAGGATAGCAGAGCAGATAAGAGTGTATATTCTGGAGTCAGATTGCCTGGATTTGTATCCAGATTCTACCAGTTTCTAGCTGTGTGACCTTGGGCACATTAACTGATCTCTCTGAATCTGTTTCCTTGACTGTAAAATGAAGTAGGTAGTATGTCATAGGGTTATCACAGGAATAAGATATTTAAAAAACTCATAAGTGCCTCTGACCCATAGTAAATATTCAACAAATGTTAGCTATTATCATTTATGAGGTTAAATGTGATATTGTAGGTAAAGCCCTTGGCACAGTGTTGACCACATAGTAAGTATTCAATATATATAACTTTATTTCCAGCACTTCACTATGAAATTTGGAAAATGAGCTGTAAGTCACTGAGGAGATGGGAAGTTAAGGCCTCTGAGCCACCATCGACAGTCACTGGAATTGGACTTGGAAGTCATGAAGGCAGTTGCCACCTCTCTTTGAACTCAGAAGAAACCAGAACCTCAGGAACCTCTCCCCAGCCGTGGCTTAGTCTGACCACTTCCTGCAGAGGGTGGGATCCTTTACTGATGATTTCACCCAACCTTGTCTCTGTCCTCTAGACTCTCTAGGGCAATGGTTCTCAACCTGGATTGATTTTGCCCCAGGGGACATTAAGCAATATCTGGAGACATTTTTAGTTGTGACAACTGGTGTTTGCTACTATCATCACATCCACCAGATGTGAGGGATGCTGCTAAACAGCCCACCCTGAATAGGACAGCCCACCCCCCACCCCCCAACAAAGCATTATCCGGTTCAAAATGTCTGTTCCAAGGCTGAGAAACCCTGCTCTAGGGCTCAGGAGCTCTTCCTTGGCTTAAAAGAACTTGGGTGGGGCTGGGACAGAGGATTAAGGGAGACGGAGAAGTTTCTTGCTGGAAGTGCTAGGGAACCATGGAGGCAGCCACTTCACAACCCATAGAAAGGGCCCCAGGACAGCTTCTCTGTCATTATCAACAAACAAAGGAGACAGAAAAAAAAAAGAGAGCCAACTTCTTTATATGTGTTATATTTTTCATTAATAAATAGGTTTTCTTCTTTAAACACAGAACATATAACAGATTGAAACACTCCCCCCTCCCCCCGATTCCAAAGACAAGGGTCTATAAGACAAATGCCAGCTGTACTGCCCTAAGGGTGGAAAAAGTCTGGCGGCCCCCACCCGGCCCCACCCCTGCAGCACCACCACCCCCACACTCCACAAGAGAAGGGGGTCTGGGGCTTCTCCCTTGGGCCGTGGGGACTTAGATGAGAAGCATGTGAATGTATGATGTCATCTCTCCATGAGGCATGGGCTATGCAAAGATGAGGTTTCCTTCTCATTGGCTCTGACCAGCTCCTGCCCTTCTGAGTTCAGTTATGAAGCACCTGGGCTAAGCTCCCGAGGGAGCTGCCTCTTGGCTTCCCCACTTTCCATTCCTCTGCCACCTCCTTGGAGGGGAAGGGAAGGGCTCAGGGACCCCTCCCATCCCCTGGCCTGCATGGAAACACGGTGTGGAAGAGGCATGATGCTGAAGGTGAGGCTCCTGTAGGCCCCCAAGCCCATGAGGCCAGCATGCCCCCATCCCCCCACACCTTTTCTTCCTCTTGAGTGAGGGGCACTGGGGCGGCCACCCCCTCCACAACGTAGTGCCTGGCTTGGGGTGTGATGGTTCTCTCAAGTGTCAGGTCCTCATGCCGGGCCTGGCTCCTTCCTCGTCCCATTCCTGTCTGCTTCCAAGCCCTCACCATGGCCATCTGAAAAACTCATGTCCAGTGTCCTAAATTGTCTCATCCTCCCTCTCCCCGTGCCTCTGCACCCCAAGGGAGGAAGTGGGGGATTGTCTCCCCCCTCCAACTCCCACTTCACATAATGGAACAGCTTTTGGCCTTTTCCTTCTTGAAGGTAGAAGAGATGAGTTCGGAGCGACTGGGGAGATGGAGCAGTCGCTTGGAGAGGCTTCGGACAGGGCTCTTTGGGGGTATTGGGCTAGGCTTGTTCAGACACACCATGGATGCCATCCGAAAGATGCTGTGGATACTCTTTTCTGAGGTGAAAGCTGATCCTTCCAGGTAGATTTCTGCACCCAGCTGCTTGGCTATTGCACAGCCCTGCAGGAGGGGGTGAGGTCATTAATACAGTGGTCCAAAATGGCTGTGCAACACAGCTTTCTATGTTCTACTTCCCAGGGCTACTACAGATGGGACCCAACTGTTGGTCTCCCACCTCCACCCTCTGCTTATTGTTTGAGTGCACATTAGAATCACCTCAAACTCTTTTAAAACTATATTGATAGTAATCAATAAATACTTACTATCAAGTGATCATACCAAGTAAATCAGAATTTCTGAGAATAGGGCCTGTGCATTAGTATTTTTAAGAGCTCCCCAGATGATTCTAATGTGAAATATTGGCTTAAAAGAAATGATCCTTACACTTTGACGTGCATAAGAAATTATCCAGTGCTCTCGTTAAAAATATAGATTCCCATGTCTTTCTGCTAGAGTGATTCTATAGGTGTGCAGCCAGGACTTTGAAATTCTAACAAGCACCTCTAATGATCCTAATGCAGGTGATCCACAGAAAACAATCTTAGAAATGCTGGCACACACAGGAATGGCTCACCCACTAACCTATAGCAGCATACATCTGGGTAAACACATACCCACTACCTCTATCCAGGTGACTAATTAGCTAATTATAGATGGACCCCCCACCCCTATCCCAATACCCAGTCTCTCTTGCCACAGTGGAGAGTCTGAGCAAGGGCCATATTTCAAGCCCTCTGCCTGTAGCCTTCCCCAGCCCTCCCCCAGCACACACACGCATGCACCCCCCCACACACACACTCCCCCACCTGCTCATAGGAAATGGGTGCCTGCTTCTGGTGGGACAGCTCCATCAGAGTGCTCAAGTCTGTCCGCAGGTCTGTCTTGCAGCCAATAAGCAA